TTTTTTGAGGGTGGGGGTCCCGCCACTATTGAGTCGCTGGTACACTCGTTGGACTCGCTGGTCGCATCGGTCGATTCTGCTAGTGCAACGTTCGATTCGCTGGCGCAACGCTTGGATTCCGAGCGATTCGCTAGCGAATCGCTCGATTCGCAAACTATGACATCGGTCCTTTAAGGCCTTCTATCTTCAACACGAACATTATACGATTCATAGTGTATCCTAATTAGGATAAAATGAAGCATTTGCCGTTGATCAATCCCTTTTTGGGATGCGGCACGCATTCTACTTCCATTTGTACATTCGTAGTGGCGTTTGAATGCGATGTGGCCTATACAATGACTTGCGGGGGCCAGCCGATGTTCAAGTCAGTGTTTTTATCCTCCCAGACAAGTCTGGTACCAATTAACCGACCCCGGAGGGATGGAAGGCTTGGTTGGCCCGGGCGACTCACGACCCAGGATTTGATCCCCGGACCGCTCGCGTGGTGAGCGCGCCACTTGTCACTACACCACTTCCGCCCTCATGCCCAATGATACGGCTGAAAAAATATTTGCATTTATTGATTTTTTTATTTTTTGTTATAGAGATATCTTCTTCAATGTGTTGCGGAGAGTGGTGTGGAGCGATTAACTTTTTAAGAAAGAATGATTCGCAGGCGCGTCAGCATCCCGCCATATAATGGTGTATCCAGTCCTCCTGTAAACCGGTTAACCAGATTTGGGAACGAGGTTTCTCTGCGATACATAGTCAGCTGGTGCATTAGACCCACGGACAAATACACACCTAAAATGGAATAGATTGGAATAATAATGAATATGTAGTAGAAGCATTCACTACGCTTGGCATGAGTCAGCCGACCAATCCGATAAATTGTTCCGCATATGTGTCAGCTAGATGTCGCTTTTAGTTGTTTAAAATGGATGAATTCTTCAATAAAGACCCGTAGAAATAAATCGAATTCCTTTGCAGGTAGTTGAGAAATTGTTTGAAGATCAACCAATACCACAGAACGCATGGCGAAAGTGCGTGCAGATCAGACTCACGAGAGGAATGGCCGCATTTTCGAGTTAGCGATCGGTGGAACGATGTCACTTCCCTGTACCCTTTAAATACTGTGAATTTTCCGCAGATTGACGACTTGTAGAGTTTAGATCAGCGATGCTTGGCGTGCGGACTATGAACAATAAACATCGACAAAGGCGAAACCCGAATGAAGCTCGAGCAGGCGGTCGACGGAAGTAACCCAAGGATTAGAATTCATTTTTGATTCCTACAATTATCATGCTGGCCGTTTTGTTATCGACTCACAAATATTTCTATCGTTATTGAGTTGTTTACCCGTTGTTACTGTTTTGGTTTTGAATTGAGTTGTTGCTGCCGTTTCTGTTCTGATTATGTTCATATTTCACTTCTAAAATTGCTAATATTCCTGATTCCCATTTCATGGTTGATACCAAATTATATCGTAAATGTCTTGAAGCTCCTTCTCCTAATCGAGTAATAGTGATGCTTTTATGAAATTTCAGTGACTAAGGTCCATACTGGTGGCTTTCTAATGTCGTCCGTGTACTATTGTCATCAGTGCCGCAACCAAGTACCTCTTAGGAACACCGTGAGTTAACATACTTTCATCGTCCTTATAATTACATTGAGAAATAGCTGAATGTTTGAGTTTGAATTGTTCAGGACATGATCTGTGGTGTATGTGGAGGAGAATTCCTCGAACAGATAACTCCACCTCCTCGAGTTATCCCTCATGCTCCGTTCTCACATTTTCGACAGCCTCCCGGAAGAGGGGCTCATTTTCATCATCACCATCATCACCCACCAGCTCAACAGCCACATGTACAGCAAGGGTCTAGTCAGAATGCACCAGAGGTTTGTAATTTCCCTGTAACGAGAACGAAAGATATTGAAATGACCTTCTTTTCGAGTATACTGAAACACCTTTCCGTCCTGAAATGCCTTCAAGTCGGTCAATTCACATTTTTCAGAACTTCTTCCAGTCACTTATGGGAATGTTCAATTCACTCCCTAGTCAACCACCTGCCTCATCGCAAAGTCGTGCATCGTTCGATTCGCTGGTGCAACGTTCGATTCGCTGGCGCAACGCTCGGATCCAGCGATTCGCTCGATTCGCAAACTATGACATCGGCCTAAGAGAAATAAAGGCTAGCCTTGCCGGAATATTTCTAGCTTCCTAGCGGCATAGCGAATAATTCTATCAAAATGTGAGTCTTATATAACAGCTGATAGCTTACCGCATGTTTTCCGCCTTTCGGAGCCGGTAACGAATGTTTCAAACCGCGTTTATTTGCAAGTCTCTGCCAGTTTATATGTAAGACCTGCTCTCCATTCTCATCCACGGACACCGCAACCTTTAAAATATTACTGTTTGAAGCAGCATTGAGAAACATTGCGGTTTTGCAACTTACCTTATGCAACATCTTATTTCCACATGCAGGACAAAACTCCTTGGTCATGATCGGTGTCGTTTTGAAACAAGCTCGACACCGTAATATGAATGACTTCAATTTCTTTATACGATACCCATTCAGGGAGACCAAGCCGAGGTTCATGCTCAGTAGTACGTTTTGTAGCGCGAAGTCTGTCGTGAGGCATCCCACAGTGAGCCCTTCTTCAACCTAAAAAAGGAACTTTGGTTTAGGGGGAAGGCCTACAGTTCTGAGCCATCGACAGCATTAAATGTAGTGTTGCAACTTGAAAGCAATAGTGTATACGATGTTGCACTCTGTTTTCTATGCCGGAATTTACAGGAATTTTCATTCAGGAATTTTTTGCATAATCTCAGATTGCTACAACACGTTTTCATTCTTGAAAGGCAATTTACAAAAGTTCCGGAAATCGCAAGCTTCCCACAAATGTATGTAAACTTGCGACATGGCGCAACACGTGCTAACGCCACATGCGTGGAACGCTCGTTTTAGAAAAGGGAGAGAAAGACAAAGCGATTAAAGATCAGTTACAAAACTTTGACAGGTTTTATGGATAAATAGCAAGAGAAACCATTAAAGCGAAGCGGTGCCTTCGCATTTTCGATCAATGAAGGCGATCTACAGTTTACCATTTAA